ATTAAATTAGAAAAAAAATAAATAAATAACCTACCAATTCATACCAAAGTAAAAGAATGCTTATAAAAATAACGAAGATGAATTCTTGAGTACTTGCAGCACTTTTAAAACCATCTACTGTACTATAATCATTAATTGAAATATAAACCACTATAAAAAAAGGTAAGAAAATAGCGAAATTTTCCATCCAATTGAAAAAATTCAACATATATCCTCTCCCGTGAAAAATAAACTGATAAATATTAGTTACAATATAAAAGTATGCCAAGTAGTAAAATAATATCATAAGTAGTATCATAAAGATATGACCATGACCATAGATCTCTAAACGAACAATATATGCCCATGAAATAATAGAATATACTAAAAAGTAGATAACAAAATTATACAAAATTCTATGCCAATAATTTTTAGAAAAATGCCACATCATGTTTGTGGTTGCCTCCATAGAAGGGTTCTCATAAAATAGATCATCCTTTTTTGCTAGTTTAATCATTCGAATAAAAGGACTATAGTCCTCATTTTTAATGGATGAAAATTTTCCAGGCAAAAAAAGCTTTGTAATAATCTTTTTAAATTTACTTGGAGTCGATTGATTTTTTTTATTCGTCGAAAAATCAGTCATAGGTACCATTCTAATATAAGGAATTTCATTATCGCTATAATAAATTTTAAAAATAAAATTAAATATGTGCCATTTTCTTTAATCGTTTAAATTAGAACAAAACATCACCTGATATTTATAAGATTTAAATCGGTATCACGAGGAATGAGTTGAGTTATAGGAATAAAAACTTTTAAAAAATCTTTAGAATGTTTCTTAATCTCATAAAACTTAAACCTAGACATATCTAGCCCTTTGTTACCAAAACAAAGCTTATAAAAAAACTCCTGAGTGTACATTCCTGAATTTTATATTAATTAAATTGAGATAAATGTCTTGATAAATTGAAATTTGGCAAATGCTAGTAACCAACCATATTTCCTTTCGTATAATTCTGGTATGATTTCAGACACCACGTTCATCCATCCAATATTATCCATTGCATTATTAGAATAATATTCTAGGAAAAGTATAAGCATTGTTGCGTCAATATTCGATCCTGAGCATAGTTAAAAAAAAAAAAAAGTATGTTATTAATAACATATTCTTGCTTATGTTTCATTATTTAATGACTAACCTATGTCAGGTAAAATATCTTTTAATGGAACTTGCCACGAGTGGAGAGGACGTTCTTTTTCATTTTTTTTAAGAGTTTTTGAAGAGTATTTCGAAATAGTATTTTTTAATTTAGATTTTTCGGAGTCGTTAGCCGATGCATTTTCTTTATTAAACAAAATGTGGGTAATGAGTGAAAAATCTCTTATATTAATAAATTCTGTCATTAATTTACAACGAAAATCTATTAATCTCCAAAGATTCGGATATAGAGTAATAAATCTTATAATAATGTTTCGTGTTTGTTGTACTATTTCTTTGAATCTTGTAAGCTTGTCGCTAATAGTAATATTAACAGATTTATTTTGACTATCTAAATATTTAAGCGCCTTGATTGCATTCTTTACTATTTGGATAATATCATTCTCATGTTCTATTTTTATCTGGATGTTTTTTCCTTCTAAATTAATTGAGAGATCAAATTTTTGTGTACCATATCTAATTTTGTTAACTTTGAATTTTTCATAAGGCTCTTCTGGTGCATCTGACTCTTCATTGACAATACGAATGAATTCAAGTTTTTTGCCACGCCAAACTTGTATAGTATTGTTTCCTATAAGAAGTCTTACTTTTCTTTCTGTTTCAAGATAGATAACATATCTTGGAAATTGAAGCCGCGGTTTAACATAAGTATCAAGTATTCTTTCCGCCGGATGAATAGCCCATGGTTCTATCCCTAGATAATATTTGAGATCCGAATCATTTAAATCAGTTAATAAAAACTTATCATTTTCACCGATGCCATAACCATAAGGTGCATAAGGCAATGAGTCAGTGATGATGCACTCAGAAGGATTTAATTCTTTCCAATCTGAATCAAAACCTGATCTTTTCAAATGTTCATTCAGAATCAATCTATCCCAAACTATTTGATTATCATCAAAAGATGGTCTTATATTAAGGACTGTAAAAGATTCATTTTCTAACATAGGACCAATAACTATCCTTGTCATAT